ATGGCTCCAATCTTGATGTGTCTCCATCTTTGGTGGTGAAGTATGAAGTCTCTCTTGGATTATTGGGAGCCCAGAGTGTTGAATTTGCTCTTTTTGACTGTTTTTCAGAAATATTCTCCTGAGCGCCAGAATACAGTGCTGAGAGGGTTCCTTTTCGCAGCACAAACCTCTGCGCAGGGGAATTTGTCTCCTCCTGAGCTCCAGGAGCTTTTTCTGGGTCAGGTTTGTGGTCTGTCACTTCTTTTCATCAAAGCATTACCCGTCACACCAACCTCTGGTTCTGCAAGAGCCTTTAGCACGTCCTCTTTAATTACATAGATCCCAGAAGTGTCAGATCTGGGGAAAAAAAAAAATAATCACTTCTTTTCAGCTCTTTTACTAAAGGAGAATCATCACGAAAGGATGTTGCTGGGGGGTCCTGACTCACTGAAGTTAACGTGACCGGTCAAATGACCAAATTGCTCATAAATATATTTAGAGATCCACAAATACATGTCAATTAAGAGTAATAATCAAGCCCTCTGATGTTCCCACGTATTATGAATGTAGATCACTTAATATCTCCTAAAACGTTGGCTTCTCTTCGAAGTTGTTACAATTTCTTGCCAATCAAATATAACAATAGGGTGTACAATAACCATCTGCAGAGAGGGAGGTGTAGGACCGGTCCTCAGCATTGGTTTTAGAGGTGAGCCTGGAGCCCTGGGAAGGCGTGAAAGACAGCACAAACCAGCCTGAGAGAAACTCCTCGGCACGATAAACGTTGGAGGATCCTGCTGTGAGGGAACCTAGAAGTCCTGGAGGATAATCGCTTGCTCAGCACCACCCAGTGGGTTAGACCCAGGAGCAGAAGATGGGAAGAGATTAATCCATCAAAATATTAGACACCTCAATCTGGCTCTCTGTTTTACCATCTGTAGAGTCTATTCGATGCAGCCGTGGGTGTTTCTCCTCACCTGGAAGCAGATGTCTAAGGTGAGCAAACGGCCTTGCACGAGTCCCTAGTTCTTTCTATCATCTATAAAAGCCACGGGTGCTGCAATAGAATTCTCAGCAGGGAGAAGCGACACGTGATGTTTGTTCAGCAAAGGAAACGGAGTGGAAAAACTGAGCGAACCACGAGGTGCTGCTGGGAGAACGTCAAGAGCCTTGCAACTCCATGAGCTCGCATGATGAGCTTAGGGCAGGAATTCCAGTTTCCCCATGTCAACACTGGAAAGGAACTGGTGCCGATGCCTGAAATTCTCCAGTGGGACTCCTGGTTTCCAGTGTAAACAGGATGCACTGCTCATGCTGAATGTGTCGCTTATTGAATTTTTTTTGACTATTTGACATTTGTGTAAGTGATCTCATTGGGAAGCTTGGTCACCTAACTGTAGTCTGATGATCACATTCCCCCTCTGTGATTGGAATATCTCAGAGAAGTAAAGATTTTCTGTGCTGCAGAGCTGAGTCCTACAATCGTTTAGGTTGGAAAAGACCTTTAAGATCATTGAGTCCAGCAAAAACGCTTCAATATGCTAATATGGAGACCTGGGCTTCAATCCAACTTAACTTGAAGCCCTTGACACTGCTCTGGCAGGGAAAAATGCCTTTAAAATTAATACCTCTTTACCTGAATGGCTTGAAGAGTTCCTCAAGGTAACCGGAATTGCGTCCCTGTTGGCAATGCCACCCATAAGTGTTGTTAATAGAGGCTGGAGAAGAACGGGTTGGGTGTATTTAATGGTTAAAAATGTATTAGAGAAACAGATACATCAACAGTTTCTGGAAGAACTGACGGGCCGCTGTGGGGTTAGCTGTTTCTTCCCAGGAGAATTAGGATGTGGTCCTTCGTGCAAGAAATCAGATCAATCATCCATCTTCCCTAATAATAGCTATCCGTTCTTACTGCATTGAAAAAAAAAACCCAGAGGTATAATTCAGGCATTTATGAAAATAAGGAAAAGAAAATATCCACGTGCATTAAATCTTTTCTGAAAAGCAATTAATCTGATACCTGATTCTTTTTTAATTACTGGGTCATTCCCGTTGGGAACCACATGACTTGGGTGTTAGGTGGAAGCAGAATTTGCTCAGGATCACATGTTTTTCCTGGAAGAGGGTTTCCCTCAAAAATTAGGATGTAAGCAAATATGTAAAGCATGTACAGGTGGAGCTTGTTCGGATAGTTAGTGGTCAGGTGTCCATACCCCTGGGCTTTCTTGTTTCCGGAGGTGACGCCACGCGAGCCATATAAAAAGGTTTGCATTTTGAAGCTCACACCAGTTCGTTTGACTTCTCCCTAACTCACCTGCACTGGTGAACTGGTAAGTCTTTCTTGGATGTATCAGGGAGTAATGTCACAGCTGTGGTACTTGGTTGATCTGGTCACAGTATTGCCGAGCACAGAACAGATTTCCTTCTGGTAATTCTGTTCCAGGATTTGTCCTGGAACGGAGGAGAGGATGGTTGACTCTTCTTTAGAGTTTGCTCTTCCTTAAGTAACTTGCAAACGTCCTGTCACTTCTTCAGAAACTGTGACGGTCTCTCATCCTCGTTTGTATTCTGTCTTCATTAATTTTTGCGTACTTCATTGAGTCTGGAAATGAAATAAATTTTTGGATGCTGCTGGGACTTCAAAGGAGATGGGTGGGAAAAAGCATTATCTGGAGGAAGGAAGCCATAGAATACCTGAGGACAAAGCTGCAGGAGATATCTGGGAGAAGCCAAGATGAGGAAATGAACTGGAAAGAGGAGCTGCAACCTCTGGGCCAACCTTTTCTTTAGCAGGAAAAATTTTGATACAACTCCAGTGATGTACTATGATGTAAAGCTGGAGGATTTGGGACAGGTCTTAGGGCTTTATCCCAGGGCATTAACAGCTCAACGTCTACACAAGGAGCGATGCGCTCTGTGGTGTGCATGAGGAACTGAAGAAGCAATAAGCAGAAGAAGGGCCCTGGAATGTTTGCTGATTTCGTGAAGAAAATAAGAAAAGAAACTGTTTTCATGTTACAGCTTCTACGAAGTTGAACTTCGGCAATTCTATAAAACTGGGTTTATGACTCTAATCTTCTTAACAACGACACTTGCAAGTTCCCAAGAAAGGAAGGAATAATCTTGCAGCTTTAGCTGCGTGTGTCCGAATCCAGAAATTGTTCATACCCGCAATTTTTTCTAACTGTCCAGTTCTCAGTCCAAAAGCTAACTGCTCTTTATGGTTCAAGAGCCCAGGTTGTGAATTGAGGCTCGAGAAGAAAGGATGCACGCCCTGACTTTGTCTCTCTCTTTTTGTCTTTGTCTTTAGCTTTGCCAGCACCTAAGAAGGATGTCTTACTACGAGCAGTGCAAGCAGCCCTGCCTGCCCCCTCCCATTTGCGCACAGAAGTGCACCCCTTGTGTGGAGCCCTGCAAGACGGTCTGCGTGGAGCCCTGGTCTGCCCGACGCCCTGTGCCACCCAGTGCACCACGACTTGCAGCACCCAGTGCGTGGAGCCTTGTGCCACCCAGTGCCCCACGTCCTGCAGCACCCAGTGCGTGGAACCCTGCAGCACCCAGTGCGTGGAACCCTGCAGCACCCAGTGCGTGGAAGTCTGTCCCCCTAAGTGCATCGACGTCTGCGTGACGCCGTGCGCCGTCCCATGCGTGGAGCCCTGTGTCACCCAGTGCACCACCAAGTGCGTGGAGCCCTGCCCACCTGCGTGCGTGGAGGTGTGTGCCACCAAGTGTGCTGACAAGTGTGAGACCGTGTGCCTGGAGCCCTGCGGCACCGTCTGCACTCGTCCATGCTGATCACCTCGAACCGGCCGTGGCGCTTCGTTGCTTCGCGATACTCGCAGGCTCGGGAGCACCCGTGGAACAAAAACCAAGCGACAGACCCACCCGCACCTGAGACCTCTCCTGATTTGGTTACCCCCATGGTCTCTTTGCCTAGGAAAATATTTCTCTGAGTGTTTCCAGCCCACGTCTTTCCTTCTTATGATACTTCAGCTCCCGTTCGCTTTCTCTTGGTGACTGCAGTTGGCCAATATTACACCACTGGGCATCTTGGGAAGTTATTTAGCAGTGGCTGTGCCGTAGGTAGTTGAGGTTGGAAGATGCCTCCCCTTCTATTCTTTAATTCTCATCTTGTCTTGTAATATGTGCCCTCTTATCTTTTAACGTCTATGTGCAGCAATAAAAATTGACCATCGATGGCACCGTGTGTCTCCTGCCTTTCTTTCGCCGCTCTGTTTCCACGTCTTCAGACCCAAGAACATCCATCGTTTGGCTGCTGTAGTTGTGGAGGTGTTGTGAGTGGAGAGAGGCTGCATTACAGTGTGAAGCAATGCCTTCTAAAACTATCAGCAAAACATCACCTGGCCAATAAAACTAAAATATCATCTGGTCAATACTTTGCTGACGGATACAAAAACGAAAGAGTTTTATCCTATGTGAAAATAACATTAAAGACTTTATTTTCACCTTTGTTAATGATAGAATTGTGATCTTTGTATCTCTGGGTTTTGGAGAGAAACCTCAGAAAGTGTTAAAAGGTAAATTTAAGTGGAAGAAAGTCCCAAATCAAAGAGAAAAAGGAATTCTTGCTGGGATTTTAATTATTTCGTAAAAACATTCTGATGGAGAGGAAAATGGTATATTTGATGACTTCTTCTCCTGATCCTCACTGACTAAATATAGAAAGTAGGAGTTTTGGCTTCAGGAGACGAATCCTTTATTTGGGGTTCAGGAACAGGCCGGGCTGTGCAAGATTTGTTCCCTGGTTTGCTGTGGGTACTTTGCGTGGCTTCGGGCAGGTCTCATTCTTGTTGTCTCCCCATTCCCCTTCTGCAACAAGGAGAAGTCACATCCCCTACCGATAAAACGGTCGGCATTTCTGGTTTGTTAACCTCTGGCAGGCACGATAATATTTTAATTCACTTAGAAACGCGTCTTCTTTACTTGGAGTCATTAATTCTGAAACCGAAGAAGTCCCAGTGTCTGGAGGGACGTTTCGATGTTGAGTTTCGGAGATAATGCTCCCATTGTCTTGCACACCGCGCCTGTGACCTGCTTACCTTTGGCTCCGTGATGGCCACACCATTTCCATGTCTGGGATGTAGAGAATCGCTCTCCACCTACTGTATCATTATGGCAAGGGTGGAGGATATCTAATCTCGAAAAGAAAAGAGTTATATTTAGGTGTGCGTAAACACTTGTTACCAAATCAGCTTTTAATGAAACCTTGCGTGCAGGTGTAAAGAGTTGGACAGTGGGTTCCTTTTTGTGTTACTGCTGTCAACACCAGAAGGTGACACCATCAAAGCCGGTGCGATGATAGGCAAAGCACAACTCAGGGAAGCAAACAAATTCTACGCCTGAGCACACCTTTCAGCTGAGGTCGACAAAGCAGGGCGAGCACAAAAATGCTGGTGGTGGGGGCACTAGGAAGGCACACCTCTGATTCCCACTATCGGACACAAACCTTTGGGCATCCTGCGGGGGGCTCTGCCTCGCTAATCACTGCTTGCCACGCGTGGAGCGTCAGTGCCCACTTTGAGGCATGGAAAAAGTCTTAGTCAGGAAGTCATATGCAGCTACTTATGAGATCTGTCATGATTCCTAAGCATCTTGCTCCAGCTTTATCAGCTCTGTTAATTAATTTAGAGTTTTTTCTTCTCTCCCTCTCTGCTGCCAGCATCATGACAGGCGCGATAATCACGGACGGGAGCGGGTGGCTCTGAAAACCTCAGAGGAAGTGGCAGAAGGGACCGGTTCATTTGTGCTCATCAGGCTTTCTGTGCCTGTAGGAAAATGTGTCACAAAAGCCCTGACACACCACTCTCCTATGCAGCTGTGGTCACTTCTGAGCATTGCTAAGATTCCCCTGTATATTTACAACAAATCAGTGACGTTTGGTCCTTGACAAGTGTGGGGTCATTAAGACCGCTGGTAAATCAGGTGTGAGTAAAGGATGTTAAGATATGGGATGATGTTGATTCCATTAGCACCTCCTGCTCTCCTACAACCCGGTGGAAGCCGTGTCCATCATCTCACCAAGCTGTGATGGAGACTGGGCTGTAATTCCTGGGGCAGAGGATGCTCAAGGAAGGCTTGAGCTATCTTTTCCGTTAGAGCTAAAGATAATGTTTGAGCTGACACATTTTCTCTCTTCCTACCTTGGGAAAATTTCAAGGGGATGGATATTTTTCTGGATCCAGCCCCAGAAAACAAGAAATTCGGCCACTTCTTCAGCAAGCTGAGCCCAGCGTTTGTAAAAAAAAGAAGTTTTAGTTACTTCTGTGAAAAGCTAAGTAGGAGTTCAAGACAAAACAAGGGGAAATGTTTCTAATTCTTTGACAATGTAAAATATTTCATTCCCCTTTCAGGGAACTAAAACAGAAGCAAAACCCCCAGACCACAGCCTGCCAAACACAGGAGCTGTGATGCAGCACACAGACCTCCCCTACCCCACCCAGATTTGTGCCAGCTGGAACTCTGCCCTGGTGATCGCAGAAAAAAAAAAATAGTCAGGAAACACCTAAACTTCACGCAAAAACATTCTTGCTCCCCCTGTGGAGAGGATCTGAGCCATCTCCCAAATCCAAGTTTGGTTGTGGGATCTCTGCCCAGGGCCGGGACAAGATTAATTATTAATAAATTAGCCAGTTAATGCCAGATTGGGTGTGCCTTGCATTAAAAACAACAAATCCCCCGCACCTGAAAGAGGAGGCATCTCTCACAGCCCTTGACTGAAGTCCAGGTGTACGGAGGTGTCAGTGGAGCAAGTTCTGGTTGTGAAAGATTCTGGTCATCAAGTTAATCTGTTGTCATCGGCTCCTGGGGCTGACTTCTGAAAGCGTATAAAAGCCTCCCGTTTGGGAGGCTTCTTAACCTGAGTGGCTGCTTCTCCTCCTCCTTCAGCAGCAGGAGATACCAGGTGAGTCCCTCTATGCATGGCTAGCTGTAGAGGTGGGGGTTTCTGGTGCTCTGCTCTTGGGAAACAGAGTGATTTTTGTCTTTATTTATCTTCTCTAGGAACAGTTTTATCTTATCTCCCTGGCAATTTCACCTCTGTACAGGTGAATGCTGTATTATGTTATTTTGAGCCTTTCTGGGGCTCCAGACAGGGGTTTGCTGACTCTTTGGATCAGCAAACCCTCTCCAACCCTCACAATTTTTTTTCTCTCACCTGATAATATTCCTTGTGAATGACCATTGGGTGTTGAGTATCAGCTCCTACAGGATGGCACCCACCAGCAGCTTGTTTTGCAGCTGTCGAGCAGCCGCAGGTTGATTGTGGCCGTCTCCTGAATCTCCAGGGCTCTGAGTTTCACTTCTTTGTATAAAATCATATCGCCCCTGAGCCGGAGGGTGGTTCACCTGCACTTGAACAGCCAGAGATATGGCTCCTGCTCTGAGGCCTTCAATACACCAAGCGGAGATGTGGCTGTTGTCGGAAGGGATGGTTATCAAATGGTTTCTCTCCTTCAACACCCTTTGCAGTACTGAAATGTCCCTAACTTTCCGCTCCTCTTTGCCTAGTTTTAGGGCCTTCTTGAACTGAGTTTACTTTCAGTACAATTCGTGTCGCTTCTCAGCTTGTCTGAGTTGAAATGCTCAGAAAACAGCGAGAAAAGAAGGAAAATCCTTGTGGCTTTTCTCCTCCTTCCACCTCTGTAGCCATTTACCCGTTCGGATCACAGCCTCGTTGGGATGGTGCTTGTCTCTTCTGTTCATTTAGGTTTGGGTACAGTTACATCCCGAGGCCTCGGCAGATGTCTGTGGAGGCTGATGGGAGCCCATGGGGCAGCTACAGCAAACTGGAGCCACCAGCAGAGATCTGCTCTGAACAGCAGCATCCTCGGGGATTTCCCAGTTTGGGGGTCTTAGTGTGGGTTTTTTTTTTCGCTGGTAGGATTAACTTTTAAAGGCTCTTCACTGTTGGTTTGATGTCAAAGCTTCCTGAAGCTGTCACAGCCAGAAAGGAGAAGCATGTAGGGCTTCAAATAACTCAACTGGCACCTTGGTTTTCTTCCAGGCTTAGCAAAGATGTCTTCCCACCAGCAGAAACAACAGCAGCAAATACCTTCCAAATGCCAGGAGAAATGTCCTCCAAAGGGTGTGGAGCAGTGCCAGGCCCCCAAAGGACAAACCAAGTGCCCTGTGAAGAGCATCCCCCAGCAGCAGCAGCAGCAGTGCCCAAAGCAGCAGCAGCACTGACAGCAACAGCCATAGAGCGCCCTGGAAGAGGCAACTGCTTATTTCCAAGCTCTCCTGTCTGCTGGCTCTACCAGAATAGCTAGAAATTTGCAGCACACCTCCTTTGTTCTCAGGCAGAAATTCCTTTACAAAGAGAGGCAATTCATTGTCTCAGATTTATTCATCCTCTGCTCTAAAAACAAAATAATTTGTGGGGCTGTTTTGTTTTGATCTTTGGTTTGCGGCATGCTACAATAAAATGATAAGTATTCTCATTACTTGCTTCCTGGTACTTTTTCACCTTACTAGTGTCATTCAGTCTCTTTTGCTTTCTTATATTATCCAGATGACTACCTTTAAACACACACGTGTGTGTAGGGCGCACGCACACAGGGACCCATGCACCTTTTTTTTTCTGAGGCATTATTTGTCCATATTCTTATTTGGGACATTCAGAAACTTAGAGCTATCAGTATGATGACCAAATAGACCAGGAATGTGAAATGTCTAGAGCAAACAGGACACAAAATAATCATGATTTCTTGAAAGACCATTTAAATTCAGGGTCATTTGGACTGCCTGGGTGTCAAGACTGGCTCGGGCTCTTGGGGTAATCCTGCAGGTTGTTTTCATCCTGAACTGGAGCAAACTGGGGAAACTCAATTTTCTGCAAGATATAATATTCTGGAGTATATTCTTGTGAGTCTATTAAACAATTAATCGTGGTTTTAGAATGTCAGCTATAGCTGCGGAGAGGAAAATAGTCTCCAGAAGATTTTCACACTGAGAAGAAGCTTTTGCTTGCTCAGAAAAAGTAGATTTAAAAGAAATAAACAGAGGATTTGGAATGTTCTTGGTTTATCAGCAGGACGTGCTGGCTTGGTTAACTGGTTTCCAGTCAACTCTATGGCAGAGCAGAGGAGAAAAATAATATACACAGCAACTGTTGAGTAGTAGGATATCGGTGTCTGGCAGGCAGAGGTAAGCTTTCTCTGCCAACCAGAAGCTGTGCTTCTCCACACGATTCTGTGGTCAGACGAAGAGGCTGGATGTATCCAACGCCCATCTGAGAGGCACGGGGCCAAACGAGGGAGATGACATCGCTCCTGGCTCGGCTCAAGTGTGGGAAAGAATTCGTTTTTTCGTGCTTGCAACCCGCCTGGTGGAGGTGCCCGTGCCTTATGTCTGCTGAAGGTCACGGAGTGGCTGTGGATGTGTCAAAGTTGGGCGGCTCGACCGTGAGGCCAAGCATCACGTGTTGGGATACGAGGTCTTGCTGAGAGGTATTTCAGCGCAATTAGAGTTTGAGTATAATTAGTGTCTCGGTGCAATTAGTGTTTCGGTGCTACTGGCCAGCCCCTGGATATGGACTCTTAGAGGTTCTCTCACCTGGGTACCTGGAGAGGAGCAGCAGACCCAAAGTCCCCTGCCAGCACCCAGATTTCTGAGTCCTGATTCACCCAGCTTTGAGCCTGAAAAAATGACTGTCCAAGGCTCCTTTTCACCTTTTTAAGCAGAAGCTATTAAAAATCACCACAACTTGGTATTCGAAGTCATTTTTATTGTTGATTTTTTTTTCACAGTGAAATTAATCCTGGATACAATATCAGCCTAAAATAATTAGAGGTAAGTACCAAATACATACGCAACAACACTGTGTGGTGAAACATGTTTCGGGGTGTAATTGAGACAGCACTGTGTAGGCTTCCTCCTTTATCCTGTCTGCCAGATGGAAGCCACGCCTGAGGTTAATCTATTTCAAAACATGTCTGGATTGGATTTAATTTTCTCTATATTTTCCATAAATAATCTCAGCTCAAGCTGTTCTTTTACACATCCTAGAAAATCCAAGGTGAGCTCTCAGAGGAAAGCGCTGATTACCACCCGTTCAGCTAAGCAGCTAATTACGAGGTGACGGCTCTTTTGTAAAAACCTTCCTATTTCCTCTAGCCCAACGGATTATTTTTTCTCTATGTGTGTATAATTGCATAAAATATTCAGCACCCTGATCCAGAAAGCCTTGTTGCCATTGACCGGAACCCCTTAGCAGCAGGTTCTGCACAAACCTCAATTCCTATTAGCAATAGGCAAAACCCCTAAATGCAAGGTGGGAGGTGGCATTTGCATACAGGGAGCTGGGGAGGAGGGCATGAAAATCAGTAATGTGGGGGTCTGGATGATGAGCTCTGGGTCCCTAGTTGCGTTCAGGTTAGATCTGAATATTCAGCTTACTGAAGCTTGCCTCATGCGTTGCCATCATGCTCTTTGGGTCTCTCTCTCTCTCTCTGGACCTTCGAAAGCCAGCGGAGGGGGAATTGGGAGAGGGCAGAAATTCAGGCTGCTGGGAAGCTGAACGCACATGCCTACGCCTTGTTATCTATCGACGGTCCCGGCGTGTCAGTAGCTGTTAGTACGGGAGAACTCTAGTGTTAGAGGGGCGAGGGGCGCTGGAAGCTGTGCTTCTTGAGAGAAATTCTGCAGCGGGCGAAAGGATGTTGGAAAAATGGCCTCTGGTTGCGAGACGCGGGGAGAGGAGGTCTGGGTTTGCGAGCTTCTTCTCTCTTCAGGGCTTCCCGCGGTCAGACGCGAGTTACTTCTGCAGGAGCGGCCACTGGTGGGGCTGCTTCACCTGCTGCTGCTCCATGGGAGGACACTTCTCTGGGAGGGAAGCGGGGATTGGCACGGGGATCTCCTTGCACTCCTGCTTCTCCTGAGGGCATGGAGTGGGCACAGGGATCTCCTTGCACTCCTGCTCCTGCTGGGGGCACGATGTGGGTTCAGGGCGTGAAACGGGGATCGGCACAGGGGTCT